CTAACCTATTCAGAGGGATAGAGGTCACTGTTTAGTCTAACTTTGTTATTGAATACCTGTATATGAGTATTCTGCTTTAAGAAGTAAAGGCTTTCTTCCCAGACTCCTGTTGTTTTGTGCCCTCTTTTATTTATTTGTTTATTTTTAGTTGTAGTTGCACACAATACCTTTGTTTAATTTTATGTGGTGCTGAGGATCGAACCCAGGGCCTTGCTTGTTCTAGGCGAGTGCTCTACCACTGAGCCACAACCCCAGACCTGTTTTGTACCGTCTTGATGCCATGTTATGTCTTTGTCCCTGTTCTCACCTTGTTTTCTGTTCTTTATTTCTTCTCTGTTTGCCAGGCCACACAGACGGCCCCTCCACCTCCTCCTCCTCCTCCACCCCCACCCCCAGCCCCAGAACAACAGACCACACCACCACCAGGGTCCCCTTCTGGTGGCACAGGGAGTCCTGGAGGCCTGGGTCCTGAGAGCCTGCCACCAGAATTTTTTACCTCAGTGGTGCAGGGTGTGCTGAGCTCCCTCTTGGGCTCCTTGGGGGCTCGAGCTGGCAGCAGTGAAAGCATTGCTGCTTTCATCCAGCGCCTCAGTGGATCCAGCAACATCTTTGAGCCTGGGGCTGATGGTGCCCTTGGTAAGCAAAGGGCAGGGAGTGTCTTGGTTTATTCCAGGAAGGGGGGCACAGAGGAGAAGGTAGATAACCTTTGTCTAGGGCTGTTGGCAAGATGGGATGAAGCTGATGGACTGGGCAAGCCTAGGTGGTAAAGGTGGTTGCTAACTTCTGCTTATATTCCCAGGATTCTTTGGAGCCCTGCTCTCTCTCCTGTGCCAGAACTTCTCCATGGTGGATGTGGTGATGCTTCTCCATGGGCATTTCCAGCCACTGCAGAGGCTCCAGCCCCAGCTGCGTTCCTTCTTCCACCAGCACTACTTGGGTGGCCAGGAGCCCACACCTGGTAACATCCGGGTAAATGCAAGCCTGGGCCCTCGCAGTTTTCCTCTTTCCCACTACCAATTGCTTATTCCTGACTATATCTGCCAGTTAAAGCTACAGCTGTCCCAGCCCAAGCCTTGGACTTTTTAGGGTTAGGGTAGGGAGAGGGGGAGTCTTGAGAACCAAGGCTTGGAATTAAATCTGTGATGTTTTCCTGTAGATGGCAACCCACACATTGATTACCGGACTAGAAGAATATGTGCGGGAGAGTTTTGTGAGTGACCCTTCTCTATTTCCCTCCTGTTCTGGGTCTGGGCAGGGAAGCTAATATTCCTTATGGCTTCCTTCTCCATTTCTAGTGTTAGGATTCCTGATTTGGGGGTCTTCTTGTGTCTTGTCTTACAGTCTTTGGTACAGGTTCAGCCAGGCGTGGACATCATTCGGACAAACCTAGAGTTTCTGCAAGAACAGTTTAATAGCATTGCTGCTCATGTGCTACATTGCACAGGTTAGGGGTTAGCTGGGCCAGGGAAAGTGGGGCATTGGGTGTGCAGGGCTGCTGGGTACCAAAATTCCTTCCTCATGTCTTGCCTACAGATAGTGGATTTGGAGCCCGGTTGCTGGAGTTGTGTAACCAGGGCCTATTTGAATGCCTAGCCCTAAACCTGCACTGCTTGGGGGGACAGCAGATGGAGCTTGCTGCTGTTATCAATGGTCGAATTGTAAGTACCATGCAACCTCAGATCTCTAGTCTCTTGTTTCCTTTGATGTCTTGCAGTTTTCACTTTTCTTGCCATACTGCAGCCTATTACTCTTGAGTCTGATAAATTGTAAAAGCTGGTTTAGGGTTGTGTTGCAAGTTTGCTTTCTATCCCTCAGCGTCGTATGTCTCGTGGGGTGAATCCATCCTTGGTAAGCTGGCTGACCACTATGATGGGACTGAGGCTTCAGGTGGTTCTGGAGCACATGCCTGTGGGCCCTGATGCCATCCTCAGATATGTTCGCAGGATTGGTGATCCCCCCCAGGTAAGGGACCCAGTGGACTCTGTCAGGGAACTTGAGGGAAGTGGAGAGATGAGAAGTTTCTACATTTTGTTTTCTTTCTCTGTTCACTTTTTTTAAAAAAATATATTTTTTAGATATAGTTGGACACAAAATATCTACAGTATATTTATTTTTATGTGGTGCTGAGGATCAAACCCAGGGCCTTGCATGTGCTAAGTGAGCACTCTACTGCTGAGCCACATCCCCAGCCCCCTCTCTCTTCACTTTTACAGTCACTTTCTGAGGAGCCAATGGAAGTTCAAGGAGCAGAAAGAACTACTCCTGAGCCTCAGGTACCAGGGAGAGAGGTTGAGGGGCCAGGTAATGTGGAGAAGGAGGGATAGCGAAAGAAGGGCTTGAGGATAAAAATTCTGAAATCTGGGTCTTCTTACTTTCTGACACCCAGAGGGAGAATGCTTCCCCAGCCCCAGGAACAACAGCAGAGGAGGCCATGTCTCGAGGTCCACCCCCTGCTCCTGAAGTAGGCTCTCAAGATGAACAGGATGGAGCTTCAGCTGAGACAGAACCTTGGGCAGCTGCAGTTCCCCCAGTAAGTGGCAGGAGGTGATCCAGTGGTGGGTTAAGGAGCTGCAGGGTGTGGGAATTACTTTCTAATCCTTTCCTTCCCAGGAATGGGTCCCTATCATTCAGCAGGACATTCAGAGCCAGCGGAAGGTGAAACCGCAGCCACCTCTGAGTGATGCCTACCTCAGTGGTATGCCTGCCAAGAGACGCAAGGTTGGTTTACCTCTTCCCTGAGGATCCCTGTCTACCCAGGTTCTCCTATCATGCTTAAATAAAACAAACTCTTCAGAGCTAGAAGGAGCTATTCCTAGTGTAGTCTGCTTATTTAATGAGAAAAGCTTTCTGGGACTCTCACTGGCTTGTAGTTGGTGTATAACCACACAAGACTTTACCTCTGTTTGCTATCTTAGTCCCTCAGCTATCTAATGCCCAAGTGACTAGGGCTCATTTTCTTTTCAGGTGGGCTTGGATTAGTTTGCTCAGAATCTCAGATGGCTTGCATTTGGCCCTTGCTTAGAAGAGCAAGTTTAACACAAACACTGTATTTGACCAGAGCCAGCTAGGAAGGCCACATGTAAAAATGTTCCCACTTCTTTCCTCTAGCATAAATACTCAGTGATTGACTCATGGAAAGGGTGAGCTGGGTGGTGGCACTGGATCTGACGTTGATCCTCTTTTCCCTCTTAACCCCCTGTCCCCCAGACGATGCAGGGTGAGGGCCCCCAGCTGCTTCTCTCAGAGGCCGTGAGCCGGGCAGCTAAGGCAGCCGGAGCTCGGCCCCTGACGAGCCCCGAGAGCCTGAGCCGGGACCTGGAGGCACCAGAGGTTCAGGAGAGCTACAGGCAGCAGGTGCCCCCACCTTGAAGCAGAATAGGGATGGTCTAGCGGGAGGGGTTGGGCTAGGGTCCCTTTTCCTGGATCCTTTCAGAGGAAGTGGTAGTCTGGGGCTGCCACTTTTTGAAGATTTTCCCATGTGGTATCTGGGAGTCTCAGTGATGCCATATTGGGCAATCGACAGATGTGGCTGGTGGGGAAAGCATTAGCTTCTGAGGGGATGGTGTTGTGTGCTTGCTGGGATCTGGGGCTTGCTCAGTGCTACTCTGACCTGCTTATTCTCTCTTTCTAGCTCCGGTCTGATATACAAAAAAGACTGCAGGAAGATCCCAACTACAGCCCCCAGCGCTTCCCTAATGCCCACCGGGCCTTTGCTGATGATCCCTAGCTCTTTGCTCTATGGCCCTTCTTCACCAGGGGACCATTTTCCCATTCTTCCTTCACAGTATTTAAGAAATAAAAGTCGGATTTTCCTGGCTCTTGTCTCCAAATTGTCTCTAAGTATTTCAAGTCCCTTATTTTGTATGTTTTTTAAAAATCTAGTATTTCCTAGGAACCCAACTTTATAGAAACAGCTTGTAATTGTCCCAGTGAGCATATGTACTCAGTCATGCAGCACATAATGTGTAAGCCTGTTTATTTTGTAGTACTGGGGATTGATCTTGGGCCTTATGCATGCTAGGCAAGCACTAGACCACTGAACCACATCCCTAGCTTTGTAAGATTGTTTTGAAGGTTAGCTTTTTCTGCAGAAACATCTCCTGTATTAGGGATTGAACCCAGCCAGGCTTTGTAATCAAGCTGTATCCCAACTTTTTTTTTTTTAAAGATAGGGTCTTGCTAAATCACTAAAGCTGGGCTCAGAACTTGTATCCTCCTCCTCAGCCCCCCACATAGCTAGAATTTATAGGGACATGCCACCAAGCAGCTGGGCAAGAAGACTAATTTTACATGCAAACAAAAACACCAAGGTCTTGAGATGGAAGTGTACACTAGGCTTTGGACCCAAGTACTCTTGAAGCATAACCTACATGTGATGCCCCAATGAAATTCAGGTTTGGTCATGCTGGACCTAGGCTGTCAAAACTCAAAAAGCTAGTTGTTAATGTACTTGGATATTGAAGATATCTGCATTCTTTGCCATTCCTTTTGAGATGTAGTTGATGTCCCTTTCCCTTTTAACTAGCTTCATGCTAGACCAATAGAAATCATTGAACATTAAGGACAGGTCATTAGCTCTGCAGCTTCTGTGGAGCCCCATGCCAAAACCACAAAAGCAAAACACTCAAAAAGATTGTTTTGTGTGTTATGTGCTGGGATTGAACCCAGGGCCTCTACCAACTGAGCTTATCCCTAGTCCCTCTCAGACATGGTCTTTTTTTGGGTACCAAGGATTGAACTTGGGGGCACTTGACAATTGAGCCACATCCCAAGCCCATTTTTGTTATTTTAGAGACGGGGGTCTCACTGAGTTGCTTAGCCTCACCATTGTTGAGGCTTACTTTATATTCCTGACTGTCTCCCAAGCCGCTGGGATTACAGGCGTGTGCCACTGCACTAAGCCCAGACATATTAATGAAGCTACACTCTAACACCATGCTGTTAAAAGTATTATAACCAAACATACCCATCCCCCAAGTCACTTGGAAATATATTTTTTTAATCATTTTATTATTCTTTTTTAACAAACGGCCCCAGGGATAGGGGACCAGGGGAAGGGGGAGGAGGGGAAGCGAGGCTCCAGCCCCACAACCCCTCCCCACCCACCCCTTTCCCCCTTATATATTTATAATCTATATACAAGCCCCGGGGGGTGGGGTGGGGGCAAGAGGAACTCCCTCAGCGGGGTGGGGGCAATTCAGGCTCCTTGTCCCCTCGGGACCMAGGCTCTTCTGCCCTTCTGGAAGGCCCTTCTCGAGAAGGTGGCCCTGTYCGCTCCCAAGGCTTCGGCATCCAGCGCAGGGCATCCGGTGGGGAGGCCTAAGGGACAGGTGGTTAGGTCAGGAACTCAGGTGGCAACTCTTGAATTTAGACCGGAGGCCACAAGAGTTTCTTCACCTGCTGGTAGAGGTCGATGCGCTGGGTGCGGAACACTCCGCTGTAGGTGGAAGGTGGGGCCTTGAGACGGGAATTGAGACCAGGGAAGGACCTGAGGGAGGAAGCGTGTTTAAGGTAAGTTTAGGATTTTCCCTGACTCCAAAGAAAGCCAAATCCTTGGAGATAGGGAGTCTGCATTCCAATTTGTGATTACCTTCCAGATGGGGGAGTACGAGATGAGCCAGGTCCCCCAAGGCTGCTGCTTAATTTCCGATAATCCTGGAAGGGCTTTAGTTCCACTGGATGAAGCTGAAGGTAAAGAATTCCTGAGCCTCCACCCATCAACCCTTTCATCTTAAGACAGAGAATCCCTGCCCCTAAACTTGGGAGTGCCTCACTTGCTGTACTTTACCTCTGCTCGCCCCAAGCTAGGGGGGAAGGGCCTGGCAGGTGAAGGCAGCACCCGAGTAGCAGGAGCAGGTGGGGGCCGCACAGCCAGGCTGGGAGGCTGCAGAGCGGGGCCCACAGGTAACAAGGAAAGTGGGGGTGGGGCAGGAGGTGGTGCTGGCGGCAGGGAGCCAAAATTCACCACAGGCAGCTGTGAATCTACCATGGGTAGAAGCATCTGTAACAAAAATGCCGAGTGTGTACGTTGAGTCAGGAAGTCATTTTGGAAAATAAAAAACCTAGTGACTAGATAAAGAATAAAGGGGGAGTGGGAAGATAAAAGGTACCTGCTGTGCAGGGGCCCCTGAAGGAAGGAAGCCACTTTGGCCACCAGGCTGCAGAGGAGCAGAATAAAAATCCGAAGGGGATGGCAGGTCCTGGCGTACCTGTTAGGGAACAGGGAGAAGTATGTCAACTCCCCTAAACATTCCCCCCACCCCTAGCACCTGCCCACCTCTTACCTGAAGCAAAGGTGGGTCAGGCAAAGGGCTGGGGCAGAAAGCTGGAGAGTAAAGAAAGGAAGGTGGAGGGTAGAGAACTCCTCCAGCTGGCAACTTCCCCAGTTCTGTTGCTTGCAGTGCTGAGAAATCCAGAAACTGGCCCTTGAGTGCTACCCCAGAGAGCAGGGCCGAGGGAGGAGCTGGGCCTGGGGGTAGGTATAGGGGCTGTGACCTGAAAAGACATCAGGGAAGGAATGGTGTTAAGAAGCCAGTTATTTACTCTTAATCTCAGTAACGCCTAAATCCAGAAAACACTCTAGAACCCAAAACTGCTCTTCTTTTCCCTGAAATCTATCTCAACTTTATTCTGAGGTCCACAGGTCTTACCTGTAAGGGTGAAGTGAGGGTGTCCCAGGGCGGAAGCCTCCATTATTGGGATGTAACTGAGAGTCCATGGCTCCCCCAGAGACCTGCTAGAGAAAAGGCAGGTTTGAAATTGCTCCAATTATATCTGGTCAAGAAAGCTAACCCATCCCCTGACTGCAGCAGCTTAAAAAGGAGAGAAATAGAATATCAAGGAAATAGTGTTTTACAATTACACAAATTAGGTCTGATTAGAAGAAACAACAGGCAGAGTAGATTCTTTCAAGGGCACACAGGATGAAAATTGGGGCTTACCTGGGAACTGGGAGGCCCAGGGCTGCCATAGAAGACCTCAGGATATAGGCGCTGGCCTGAGGAACTAGGCTCTGGGCCACAGTGCCCAGAACCCAGGCTCTTGGATTGTGGCTCAGCTGAGGCAGAAGCACTGGGGAGTAGCTCCCAGTCTCTGGAAATTGGAATGGCCTGGGCAGGAGAAAACTTGTCAAGAAGAATGCCCAATGTCCTGGAAAGACCCAGGTCACTCTCAGAAATTTTCACCAGAAATGTTGGGTCTTCCTACTAAATTCTCCACCTACCTCGGCAACTGATGCTGTTAGCTCCTTCTCTGCTTTTAAACTATCTCCTACCACTAGGCGCAGGTCCGAGTCCTGTGATAATAAGGCAGGAGAGCATCCTGTGATTCAGACATGTTTTCCATGTCCTATCTCTAGACCCTCCTCTCTCCTTCCAACATAGGAAGATTCCCAGGTCTAGTTCACACACACCTTGTCACTAGTTCCAAACTGGACTGCTTGGCCAGGTCGATGGGATGGCCGGAGGGGGCCAGGCTCTGGGCCTCGGTCCGTACGCTGTGTTCGTTCTGTGCCTATGGGGCCAGGRGGCAGAGGCTGCTCCCTGGGCAGCTCCTGAGTTGCAGAACATAGTAAAGTGAAGGTGTAGGGAGGAAAGGGAACCCAAATCAGGGAATTCCCAGAACACCCAGAAGAGGGATAAAGGGAAAGCCAAAGTAAAAGATTACTTGAAACATTCTTATCTTTTCCTTTGGTCTTTTACCTTTCTGTCCCCATCATGGGGGGCAGGTGGCCGTCTCCTAGGAGGTTCAGAGGGTTCAGAGCCAGGTGGACCCTCACCAGGAACAGCATTCAGGGGTGAGGGGCCTCCAGGCCGCTTGGGGGGTCCCTCTGCTGCCCCCTTGAGTCCTCCATCAGGGGAACTTYGCTGGCTGCAGGGACCTGATGACACCTGAGAATCCCCACTCAGGTCCACCCCACTGTCAGACTGACTCATCTGAGAGGAGCGGAGAAGGAGCTAGTTAAATCAAGGTAAAGAGCATCCTGATACCTGACTGATGCACACATACAAATTTAAGGAGATAACCATGTGAGAACAGCCCCAGACTTGACCCAGAACAGGTGGGGGAAAYATGGCCAATATTCAGACAAGATCCCAACTCAGCAACTCCCTCCCATCCTCACACACCTCTGTGCCAGCCACATCCTCAAATGGACTCAGGGGCTCCATCCAGGGCTCCATGGAGCCGGGCCGGTAACTCTTTCGGCTGGTGGCTGGAGGAGAGCACCAACCAGGATGCAGGCAGTGAGAAGACAGTTCCAAAGCCAACTCACTCTCACCACTTTACCAGCTCCTTCCTTCATTCAGCTTCACTCACCAGTATGTAAACGATCCCAGATGTGGGGGGTCAGGGCCTCTGTGCCTGCATCTCTGGATTCTCCCTGAGGGCCCGGGACCTCAGGCTTTGAGGGCAGGATTCCAGAGGTATGAGAAGCTGGCAGAGATTCCTAAAGATGGAGAAAGGCCAGAAGCAAAACACGAATTGGGTAGGAACTGGGGAATATAGGAAGCCAGGACAGAGTGAGGCATTGGGGCAACAATGAAGACACACGGGAAACAAACAGTAACTACTAGTGAGAATTTTGAGTAAGAATATGGGAATAGCAAAGAGTGGAGAAATATAACCAAGAACCTTCAAAGTGAAAGTGCAGCAAAGCCCAATCTCCAGCCCCATCCCTCACCTCCTGCAGCAGCTCCAGTTTTCGGGGAGGTCGCTCCCGCCGTTTGGGGGGGAAGGGATTAACCCCGGCAGAGTCCCGGGGAGTCCCGCCCACCCCCCTCACCATCGGCCCTGGCTCCTCGAAGTGGGGGTCTGGGGAAAAGGGGAAAACTGTCAGCATCTGCCTCACTATCACTGACCCTAGCTCCCTACTGTTCCCCCCAATCCTTCCACCCTTGCTCAATGAAGACACCCAGCAGCAGGGCCCCCAGGCCACTCTTCCCACTTCAGCACCTGACCTTCTCTGGGGATAGAAACATTCCCACCCAGTACCCTCTCCAGCTTACCAGAACTGACACTGTTGGTGGCCCTCTGGGGGTCATATCGGGTTGGGGGCCGAGGGGAGGAGCCCTGAAGGGCTTGGGGAGGCCCAGGTTTAGGCCTTGGGTGCCCCCCTGGTGCTGTTATGTTTCCTTGGCGGCTGCTAAGCTGGGCCAGAGCCTGTTGGATGCCAGCAGGGTTGCTGTGGATAACTTGGTCCAGGCGGAAGACAGCCGAACTGCTAGGGGGTGGGGGAGGCAGGGGGAGTCCTGGAGGACGCTCCTCTGGGGGACGGCT